ATAAAGCTGATGACGACTGAGTGATTCAGTCGAGAATTTCTTGTGAGTTAATTTCGTTTTTGAGTTGGAGAACAGTTTAACTTTATTTATTAATTTCTTCATGTATTTTACGAACTCCGATAAATTTTAATGCTAAACAGCATCTTTACGTGTGTTTAAGGTTTGCTAATATAAAGGTGGATATATTATGCAGTGCATTAGAATGGCTATATATATTGGTCTTATAGCCCTAATGTCGATGTCTAAAACATTACATTATATTATATTATAGTATACTACACATCTGATTATATCTATTGCCGTTGTAACACGAGGTTTCTATAGATATAGACATTACTCTTAAAATGTATGTACACAACAGACATAAAGAGTATATATAAAATGATAAGCTCAAACGGACGTTCATACAAATGTAAGATTTAGTATACATTTACATCGAATTCCACAATATCCATAAATGGAATAATACTTTGACTTTACACTTACTGCTACATCAAGGCTAACAGGCTAAGGCCTTTTGTGCTTTTCTTTAGAAATACGTATATTACATATTTGGTTAAATTCAATATTCAGCACTTAGCAGTAAAACCTATATCGACTTAAAGTTAATATCTAGACCTTCAATTTGAAGTCACAAACAAGACAAAACTGAGTACAATGAGAATGTTCCTGAAACTTGAGGTGTCCTCACATGCAGTAGTACATGAAGTAGACCACGTTCATATAACTGACCACATTCCCGGAACATACCGTACCCTCACATGCAGTAGTGCATGACGTACACCATGTTCCCGGAACATAATATGTTGTCCTCACATACAGTAGTACATGAAGTAGACCAAGTTGCAAATTCCAGGAACTTGTGGTACCCTCACATGCATTAGTACATGGTGTGGACAATGTTGCAAATTCCTGTAACTGCCTACGTTCCTGGAACTTGTTTACATGCAGAAGTACATGACTTGGACCACGTTGCAAATTCCTGGAACTGACCACGTTCTCGTAACATATTGTAATCTTACATGCAGTAGTACATGAAGTAGACCACGTTAAAGACCGCGAACATGGCCGGGAATAGAGTGGACCAGGAATAGAGTGGACCACGTTTCCGGAAACTTACATACAGTAGCACATGAAGTAGACCAAGTTCCTGGAACTGACCATGTTCCCGTAACATATAATGCCCTTACATGGAGTAGTACATGTACATGGAGTACACCACTTTCCCGGAACCTCACATGCAGTAGTACATGAAGTAGACCACGTTCCTGGAACCAAGGAGGTTTAACTGACCACATTCCCGGAACTTACATACAGTAGTACATGACCACGTTCCCGGAACATATGGTACCCTCACATACAGTAGTACATGAAGTAGACGATGTTAAAGACGGCGAACATGGCGGGGAACGCGAATCTGGCGCAGTTGTCGATGGTGCTGACCTGAACCATGCGCGTGACGTCACTCAGCCGACGCACGACCACGGCGATCTGATCTCCGATGCTCGTCGACTTCTTCATGTCGTCATCGGCGACTTCTCCCGACTTTTCCCGACAGTCGTCGATGTTTAGCGAGTTGATCCGAACGTCCCCGAGCTCGGCGGCCTTGTTGCTGTTGGTGCTGACTTGGTTGCAGACGGTGAGAGGTTGCAGGTTGCCTCCGCCGTTGCCGAGCGGCTCGAGCTCAGAGGGGTTGCACCCGGAGTCCCAGGTCTTACCCATCTGAGAGGGACAGGAAATATTCAAAGTTACACTTTTTATTAGAAAATAGTCTTATCAAAGTGGTTTTCGACAGATCAGATTGTACAGACCAGTTGACCTTCCGGACGCTTGACCTTTAGTAATTTATTTATTAGAACTCTTCACAAGCAGATGGAATGGCAAAACAATTGTATCTCTTACCGAAGGGAGGGCTGAATCTAAGCATGCAACATAGATATTCTACTAACAAGTGGATATATGTAATAATTAAGGGTTAATGACCCGCCCCGAGGTGAATATGTGTGATAAAGCCTTGTCAGTTGCTATAACCACCGAATAAAGCCACTGAGTGAGCGCAGCCGGTTTTAACTCTATTTGTGACATTACGGCGTCATAAGGAATGTGGAATGAGGCTTCTGATTCGTCAGCGTCACCCGGCTATATGATAATATAGATTAATTGATCAGTTATTTGGACCTTATCGACTTTGATTTCCTGCAGTCCGTCCTTGTCCTTCTCCTTTTCCCTCTTGATCGCTGCCGCAATTCGTGACGACTGGAAGTTTACGACAGCGTACTCCAGCAGCGCCGCGAAGGAGAAGAGGAAGCAGATGACCAGGTACACGTCGATGGCCTTGATGTAGGAGATCTTGGGCAGCGCCTGGCGCGCGCCTGTGATCAGCGTGGTCATGGTCAGCACCGTGGTGATGCCTGCAGTACCAACACAAACCGCAAGGAGAATCAGCAGGACATCTCATTTATATCTATGTAAGTCCGTCCAGCTTTTTATCCAGACCACGCTCAGACACGGTTTTTAATATTTCGTATGCGTAACCAGAACCGTCCAGAATCGTTTGAAAAATTGTTACCCCAGCTCCACCCGATCTCTGGCATAAAAGGTGACAGGCTGGTGACGTAAGCAGATCTAGAGTGCCTAGCCTCTACCAGACTTCGGGATACGGTTGGAAAGAGTAGAACTTGGCCAAATAGAGAGATAACACGCTGCGACAAAGTGTACTCTCTAGCGGACCAACTCCCCCGGCATGTTATCTCTCTATTTGGCCGATTTCCACTCTTTCCAGCCGCCTCCCGAAGCCTGGTAGAGGCTATAGAGTGCCCACAATTCGGAGCATCTATGTAATTCCCCTGTAAACAACCAGTAGCAACAGCCTTGTCTGTCAAATGTCTGATTTACGGAACGCCAGACAACTTTTTGTATTGATGGAAACCTTCAAGATGAGTGCAACACCGACCCAATGCGACTCGCCGAAACTACATCGTATTTGAAAAGTTGTCACCCCAACTCCAAACAACACTGGACAACACATGTGGGTTTAAACAGCACATATTTACCAGTAACAACAGCCTTGTCTGTAAAATATCTGATTTAACGAAGATCAGGCAAGTTCTGACTTGCATTGAGAGTACTAGTGCATTGACGGAATCCTGAAAAAGTGTGTAACACCGACCCAGTGCGACTCTCGCCGGTACTGCATCCGGGTTGATCCAGAAGGAGACCCATGAGAGGACCACCAGCAGGATGGACGGGATGTACGTCTGTAGGATGAAGTAAAACGCCTGACGCTGGATCTCGAAACTAAACACGATCTTCGGGAAATCCCCTGGAGTGGAAAACAACAAGATATATACAGAAACTTTATTTGTAAAATCATGCCTGAAGGCTAATTGCTTTTACAATCAAGTATACTACTACTCATTGCAGTACTGTAACAGGAGACAGGTAACAACTGCCTGGAAAAACTTCTAGTACTACGCTAGTTATTATGGGGTTCGAATCTTCTTTGAAGGCAGTGGATATATTCTCATAGCAAATCCAAGCTTTACTACTGGATAAATTACGGAGATAATTTCCGTAGGTTTTCAAGTGACATCCACCAGTCTTCTTCAGCGTCACTAATAAACAGTCACCGTAAACGTCCGGAAATTATCTCCGTAAATAATTGATCCAGTAGTGGAGTTTGAATTTCCTATGAGTATTGTTTACCTGGATGCCTAGCCTTCATCAAGATATTTTGGGCAATAAAATGTCTATATATTGAATTGCAATATTTTAAAACCAAAACATCGGTTACGATAATCTCCAAACAGATCATACGGTGGCAAGGTAGTATCCATTTTCCAGAGGAGTGTGCTTTCGCCACTCTTCTGGCCTATGGATACAGCCTTGGCAAAGTATGATCTGCTTGGAGATTGCAGTTACGATGCTATTTCACAAGTTGCCATTTACTGCCACACTATGATAATCTATCTGCAATCTACAATAATTTAAGACGGCAGCCACTGCCTGCGACATTATCTAGGTTATCAAGGTGACCTCTGTGACCTTTACTCCCAGGGTCACGACCTTTTCAGAGGTAAAGTAAGATGGCGGATGTCAGTGAGAGCTCTGCAAGGTAAACTTTTTACTCCTACTCTCATCTGCCGAATAAACATACCCCCCGGAATAAACGTACCCCCCGGACAAATCTTCAAAATCTAATAAACATACCCCTCGGAATAAACGTACCCCCCGGAAAATTACCAAAATAGACAGTCTCTTCTACTAAAATGTGCCCTTACTAATATATGCACAAATCTTTATTTGCAATCAGGAATTTAAATGGACAACAAAGAGAGCATTTCTAGTACAAATGTGCACATGTTGTTGGGAAATACAATAACATACTGTGACCTGGAATAAAAGTACCCCCGGGAAAATCAGGGTTTGTTTCTGCCTATATATGTTACATCCACAGAATGTCATCAAATTGAATGTTAATTTCCCTAATTACAAGGTCAACTGGTCAAGGTCAACGGTAAGATTGCATGAATCTGTCACATACCGGTACATATTACTTGCTTGATGAGCCATGATGTTACATGTTGCATCAAGAGTACAACTCAACACTTGCACAATACATGGCAGAAACATGGCAGATGTTTGTTTTGATTGAATAAATGTATCATAAGTGTAGCTGTCTGCAATATTATCACTGCATTTACAATGTCAATAAAAACATTATCATCTAGCGTACAATGTTTGACATGCACTAACATCTATTTGGTGTACTGAAATCATCAAATTCTTACACTGTATATACTGGGCAGTTCTAAAGATTTTATTTCTAATAGAAATAGTAGGTTCAAGTTAACTGCAACTTTGTGGAAAAAGTTGATAGTCACAGTCTCCACCCCATCCTTTACAACCTCTCCTGGGTACCAGAGTTGGTGGCCATGGTTGTCGTTGTGTGCCACATGGCAACATTACGGTAACCACACTTCCCAGGTTTGTAAGAAATGGGTTCCTGATACGATAAAAAGAAATACAGCAGGTAAGTACAATGTGTATATATACTGTATCCTCAAGTTTGAACTGAAGTCAGCTCATTGAAGAGAATGATTTGGATGACAATCCCGGAGCTACTGACTGCTGCAGCACAAAGGAAAACTACCCTGTCACCCCGACGACCTGGTCCTTTGATGGACAAGGTAGGTAGGTAGGTAGATATCCAAGTCCAGGGAACTTGGGCAAAATATTGGTTTGCTGGCTTGATAAATTAAGTACATGGCTAAACAAATATGAGTGAAAATATATCTCCAAAATGCCATTTACTTTTATTGTAACAATAAGAATGAGCTTATTATTAATTAAAATGGCATCAAAATTTTGAAAAAATTGGGCATAGGTTCCCCGGCTGACCCCTAACCGGGGGCCCACGGTGCCTCAAGTTCAACAAGTGAAAAAAAATACACAGTGGTATTTTCAACTTGGAACAAGGCAAACAAGTGTCAATTTACATGTCAAGTACCACAGAAATAAACAACTCTTAAACTATAATATAATCAGTGATGAGTACTACAAGTACACATATTGCATTGGAACTACATAATTTTGCTGGCATGGGCTTGAGAAAAAAAAAATTGGTATTAATAAAAGCACACATAATTTCCTTAGACCTCGCCCCCCTCCCCCATCCAGTGTTTACAAACTCTCAAAATACACAAAAAACATATTTTACCTGGAAATTCTTGCTCCATAGCGTCAAATAGGGCGTATTTGTGCCGCTCCATTCACGTATTTGCTGTTCCTGAAGATCGCCCGAGCGGGCCGTATTTCCCGCGGCAGCGCTCTGTTTACCATGACTTCATCAGTAAATCTAGCGTTGCGCTTCGCCGGCGTGCATTCGAGAAAACTACCGATTACATCAGCGGAAAGCCCTGTTTTTTGCCGTCATTTTGACACTGGTGACAAAACGGGAAAATGACATTTAGGTGGTCAAATTGATGTAAAAAGATCGACAAATCGTTAAAAATGGACGTTTAGCCCCCCGAAAATAAAATTTTTCCGATGTTCCTGGCACCATTTTTAAGCTCGTAATCTGCGCTTTCGAATGGTGCTACTTTCATTCTGATGCGGTCTAAGACGGCGATGCGCAAGCGCACTAAGTCAGGGTGCGAGCGGGAGCCGGCCGCGTTTCCGCAACCCGGGCGCTCGGCTCACGACGCGCCGTTTCATCGGCAAATTTCTGGCGTTTGCAACATTTTACAACCTAAATAAATACACCACAGGAAAGGGGAAGTTATATCCTTTATTTTTATGGGTAACTTTGCTACTAGAAGCGAATGATTTTTGCACCGCGAGTGTGGGAAGATGCTAGAAAATTGAACCGACACCATGTGGTAGACGATTTTCCTGGTAGCGTTGGATAAAACTTATAACGTCCGTCATAGCTCATATTTCCGACACAATACGTGTTCCTAAATATGACTTACATCTAAAAGGGAGGTAATATGTTGTTACAAATATCCTGATTTTGAAAAATTTTAGTAAACGTGCCGTCCAAAATAGAACGTACCGGGTGGAACCTGAGAGGCCATCCCCCGGTCATTGGCCACAAATTATGCTCAATGCGGCGAAAACAGGCCCAAAAATGACAAGTTTCCCGCTACAATACGCGTTCATAAACGTCTTCAAGTCGAAGATTTGTCTTTTTTTTCATGCGTACTCGAAAAAAAATTACTGATTTTCCAAAAATTAATAAACGTACCGTGCAAAATAAGAACGTACCGGGTGGACGTTCGGGCCAAAAAAAATAAACGTACCGGTACGTTTATTCGACAGATGAGAGTACGCAACAGTTCTATTACGTTGTATTGGAAGTCCTTCTACTGTGGACCGTGTACCAGGAACTGGAATTTCCTTTTACACGACCAGTAATGTCTGCTAGTGTTCCCTTGCTTACGTTTCAGTCATGGTTTATCAGACAACTTCCACAGAGTTTCTGACTGGAGAATGAATCGGCAGTATTAAACGGACCAACTATTTTCGATTTTGAACCAGTGTTGACGTCACACTTCAAAGAAGCCACGTGACAAGCCTCACTGGCTCAGTCTACTGAGGAAGACCAGAGTGACTGGTCGAAAGCTCTAGGTCAGAGAACTTTTTGTGTTGGACCAAAAAATTTAACTTTAAACATATAGAATATTACTGTTTGTTGTATATTGATAAAACATACCTGTTTCGTATCGCGCGAAGGAGCTGTGTACGTTGAAGCTCCCGACGTTGAACTGCTGCAGCTTGAGCGTGGTGAGACCGGAGATGGATGACTTGCCCCGCCGCCACAGGTACACCATGTCGTGGAAGTTATACCCGTCTGAAATGTAGTAGTAGTAGTAGTAGACTGGTTGATAGTTTTGACAAAATATTTATACAGAAACACACAACAGCTACACTGGGGGCTTTCGAGATGTGCTCTGTCTCCTATTCAACCCGGTTAAGATATCGTCTTGGAGTTCTCTTGTCAATGACTTGATGTGATAATCACGTAACAAGAGACAGTCATCTACAGGTTTTAGGTAGTGACGCCCCCTGTCCTTGTTTAGGGTACTGCTGGCTTAAAGATCTCAGTTAAAAACAATTCCATTCGAAAGTAATTTACAAAGCAATGCTACATATGCAAATAAATTCCAGTTCAGACTAGCACATATGAAGGAAACATGTTCCCCGACTCACAACTCTCGAACTCCAGGGTGCAGTTCTGTTCGTCCATGGGGTACTTCCGCAGGTCCATGTCGCACTCTGCCTTCGCCGTGATCCTGCAGACAGCAGGGCAGCAATATGTTAGTGGGAATTCGGAAAACAACATCATTAACGCAATAGTTGTACCGAATTTATAGAGTTCATCATTCTGTGTACGGAGGTATTTACCTGGGTGTGGGACTTTTTTTAAGGTAAGCACGTAGTTTATGATTCCTCGCAAAAGGTCAGAAACAGGAAGTTAGGTCCCAGAAGCTGGTCAGGAATCTGTTGTTAGGCTGGTGCGAGTGCAAAAAAATTGACTTGGCCAACGACGTTGAGATATACATGGCCGATGTACAATAAATCAGCACATAACGCGACCTTATGAACGTTGGTGTAATTTTGTCAAGCAGGAAGCTGGCATCTTCCCATATATTCTGGTTAGTATGACTGTAGTCAGCCTGGTCAGAAAATCCTGTTCCTGAGATCTACGCCAGGAGAATCGCCTTGTAACTTTCCAAACCTGATGACTAGGCAGCTGCCGTGGCCTTACGATGATCATATAACTTTTACCAGATGCACCACCCTGTTAGTGAAGAGTTTGACATGAGATAGCCAGATCCACGGCAGGAGAACTGTCTTGTAACTCTCATTAAGATCTGATGACTAGGCAGATGCTGTGCCTTGGGATATCATCTAACTTTTACCAGATGCACCACCCTGAGATAGCTAGATCCACGCCAGGAGAATCGCCTTGGAACTTTCTAAACCTGATGACTGGGCAGTGGCCCTGGGGTGCAGAGGAACATTCTGAATGTAAGGTTTCTGTGGAGTTAGTAATGTTTTTGTGTTCATGGAGTATATATATATTTATATATTCTTGAGACACGCGAGCTTGTGGCTGTGTGTTAGTATGTCTGGTTGGAAAATCTTGCTTGTCAGATCTACATCAGGAGAACCGCCTTGTAATTCCCATTAACATCTGATGACTAGGCAGCTTCTGTGGCCTTAGGGGTGCAGAGGAAGATTCGGCAATGACAGGATCAAAGGACCGGCAGACGTTTGAGATGAGCCGGCGTTTCTTAGACGGTATTATCCAACATCTCAGTCATTACACACCGTCTTAAGTACGTTTTACATGTTTATAGTGGGCGGAATTATGTATTGTGAAGCCCCAGAGTTAGTATAGATTGTGTAAAGTTATACACATCGACATATTCGGAGAACGTCTCTTAGACGGTATTAACCCGCATCTTAGTCATTGCACTTTTAATACTGGGGAGTTTTGCATGTGCGTTTTATATGTACACCGTGGGCGGAATTGTGAAGCCTAGAGTTAATAAGGTTTTTCCGTGTAAAGTTGCACGCTCGGGGAGCGTTTCTTACACGGTATTACCCAGAATATTAGTCTTTTCACTTTACGTGGGAGTTTTAAGTACGTTTTAAACTCCCACGTGGGCGAACTTGTGAAGCCCTGGAGTTAATAAAAGGTTTCTGTGGAGTTAGTAAGGTTTCAGGGTTCCTAGAGTTAATAAGATTTCTGTGTGTGAAGTTGTACGCAGTGACATTTGAGGAGGTTAGGGCGCGATGCGCAGCACGTTTTCTTTCGATGTCATACTTAAAGACATCTCCTGATTCCTTTAACGTCTTGAGCACAGCCATAAATGCCTTATGCTTCCTCTGACATCTTGTGCGCTGTTAAAGACATCCTCTGCCGCATTGAGCATAGTTGAAGACGTCATATGCTTTCCCAAGTGCCTTAAGCGCATCTTGTGATTCCCCCGCCGTCTTGTGCGAAGTTAAAGACATCATCCCGCTTCCCCGGCTTTCCTTGAGCGCATTAAATCCGGCTCCCCAGGAGACGCGAGGCTTAGCTCCGCAGATCGATTCCGCTGCAGGCTTTTCATTAGCGGCGCGAGACGGGATTTCGGCTGGTCCGGCCGGGGATCCGGATGCGCTAAAGTCTGGACGGGGAGGCGATAATAGGGCGCGTTTAGACATCTTTTTCTTTATTCTGTCACCATTCGCTGCTACACTCTTCCCCTCCAATTATTTTGCGCATTTCCTCCCCCCTGGGGGTCAGGGCCTCCAGATCCTCCTTAGTGTGATTAGACATCAGTCGGCCCAAATGCCGGCGGGCGGTCTCCACAGCACTGAAGTGCCGGGCCGTCTCGCAAGCTGGACCCGCTAGATTCTCGGTCCCAATCCCAAGTGCCGGGCGGTCTCCTCACCGCTTTTAAGCCGGGCGGTCTCGTCAGTCCCGCGATACAAAGGGGACAGAATATGTCAGGTCCGGGCGGAGAGGCGCTAATAGGGCCGCGATCAGACACCAGTCGGCCCGAGTGCCCTGCAAAGTGGCGGGCGGTCTCCTCAGTGCCGTGCCGAAGTGTAGAGACCACCCGGCACTCGTGCGCGGGTCTCATCAGACCTGTAGTGTCGGTGTTCTTAAGCAGGTCCGGGCGGAAAGGCGACAGTAGGTCCGCGATCAGACAAGAGTCGGCCCAGGTTAAGTGGTCCATGAGACCGGCCGTCTCCTCAGACCCCCGCGGTACAAAAGGGACAGAGGATCGCAGGGATGCAGATAAAAGTGGCTGACAGGAGGTCACGTCCGGCCAGGCTGCTTCCCAGATGCAGAGGACTGTTGTACTGATGAGGTTTGACATGCGGATCACATACAGATCACTTCTCAACATGGATATATGCAGTGTCGGTGTTCTAAAGAGTTGGCCAGATATCCAGTTGCTAAAGCAAACATCGATTCAACATAAGATTCAACACAACTGACCGCAACCCATATATGACCCGTATATGATCCTGCCGTCGGGATACAGCCGTATATATATATATTTAATTTTTTATATATATATAACTTAACGCAGCCCGTATATGATCCTGCCGTCCGTATATGATCCTGTATCATCAGTGTATGTTGTGTGTGAAGCGATTGTTAGATAGCTGTTATACCCCCTGACCCCGTATAAATGCATAACTTACCTTAGCCCGTATATGATCCTGCCGTCCGGATACAGCCGTATCAGCCTGTTATCCACCGTGACCTTGTGCAGGAACGACTCCTTGGCGTTGGGTATGAAGGTGTCCGGGACCCCGTATATATGTATAACTTACCGCAGCCCGTACATGTATATGATCCTGTCGTCTGGATACAGCCGTATCTGCACAGTCCGTATACCATACTGTATGTTGTGTGAGTATATAATTATAGCTACAAAGCTCTTGTACGGCACCGCGTATATACAATGTACGAATAACTCACCGCAACCTGTGTATATATGTATAACTCACCTTAGCCCGTATATGATCCTACCGTCCGGATACAGCCGTATCAGCCTGTTATCCACGGTAACCTTGTGCAGGAACGACTCCTTGGCGTTAGGTATGAAGGTATCCGGGACCCAGAGGTTATCCGCCAGCCGCCCGTCCAGGCTCAGGGACTTGTTAGTCCCGGAGAACGCCAGCCGCTGGTCCTGCCAGTATTGCCGCAGGAAAATCGTGATCGTGTAGTCCTGAAAAGGAAAGAAAACTTTATTGCACGACAATTGCATATGGTACAGTGTATGACAAGGAATATTGAACATAATACTGAGGGACTTGTTGGTTCCCGAGAACGCCTACCGCTGGTCCTGCCAGTATTGCCGCAGGAAAATCGTGATCGTGTAGTCCTGGGGAAAAACAGCAAAGGGTTCAGGTTCAAAGTTAAAACGTTAGATCTAACACAAAGTAGTGATCTCACCTAAAGCTTTCGACCAGTCACTCTGCCATACAGATACAGTTACAGATGTAGAACTCTAGATGAAAATACGACATTCGGTAATATATATTTCACACTTTGACCTGTTCAAGAATCAAAAGACATTCAATGTCCTTTATGCCACGCGCTTTGAGACTCTACTACAGTAACGACACTCAGTAGTAACGACTCTATGCCTCGAATATGTAACACATGAACTGCTTAGGCTACGATTGTACAGAATCTTCTCACGATTTTATGGACTGCCTACTGTTGTACTGAGACCTCCCCCAGATATTAGTTGACAATGACTATGTTCATATAACTACATATTGTTTAATTACTGCTTTTAATGAGATTTTAAGTCGTTGCAATAATGATTTTAGAATTGTACTCGTTTTAAAAATTCAGTCAAAGTCTATAATTCCATTGACTGTAAATGAGCATGCAATTCAACCGTCAGGCTGCAATATGCTTTTCTGAAATAAACCAATTACCAATCAAGTTAGGCATATCATAAATCAGGGACAGGTTAAGGGTTTTAGATAAAAGAAACTATTTATTTATTCATGGAAGCCATGTTTCAGCAAGGTACAAAGTGTATGTACCCAGGTAAGGGCTTCAGGATTGCTGAAACTTATTCATTTTCAAGTTTTAATCTGTGTTGTGAAGTTCTTCAAGTCGTTAGAGCCTCTTCTGTGGAATTGGAATTGGAACTGTGACAATCTGATACAGACACCGCCATTTCTGAAAGTATAATGTTCCATGTCAAGACAGAAAAGGTGTGAGAAAGACGCTGAGATATCATAGCCTAGGTGCCATCCTATTTGCATGCTTCAATACTCGCTCCCTAAATATATATGTATCGTATCTGTATCTGTATAATCGGTGTAACCGCCCTTCGGCATAAGACTCCAGCTTCGCAGGCGCGCGGCGCGGCGGCAGCTAGCTGTATATCACACCGTACGATATAGCGAGTATAGGAGCCCCTGCATACAAATAGGATGACACCCAGGCTAGAGTTATTATCAACGCCCCCAACATTACTTCACAAAGGAGGCGTCTTCGGCAGAAATTATCAGTTAAAGACAATCTGGTTCAGTAATTGGCTCATGGATGATTTGTTGTTTAGATTACATGTATTACATTTCTTTTAGTTCGGAACTATATAACGTGATAACTATATAGACATAGCAGTGGACAAAAAATGCTCATATCCTTTCGACAGCAAAAAACTTTTAATTATCTTGTGAAAAAATGAAGTAGAGGGGTTGTTTTTTTTAACAGAGGGACACTGGCAGTCACCTAGTATAGTAGTAAGATTAACGATCATTACCTACAACTACTAAGAACTGGTGTTTAGCTTATCGCGCCTTAGGAGCAATGTACTTTTGTGAACTTTAGAAACGTGATTAGTAATCTCGTGTCTTCTGATCTCGTCAGACCTAGCATCAACTTAGGACGATCTTTACCGAGGTCAATTGCATAGACAACTCAAGATCCCTCCTTAACATTCTCTGCACATTCCTGGGTGATTCAACTGCGAGTGCCTCCCTCCTAGCCTCTACCAGGCTTCGGAAGGCGGCTGGAAAGAGTAGAAATCAGCCAAATAGAGACATAACATGCCAGGGGTGTTGGTCTGCTACAGGGTACATTTTGCCGAACCGGAACTTCCTCTCCAGTAGACCAGCTCCACCGGCATGTTATGTTATCTCTCTCTATTTGACCGATTTCTACTATTACCAGCCGCCTCCCGAAGCCTGGTAGAGGCTACCTCCCTCACGGCTGCCTGTATATCGACCAGCCGCCGTGCTGACGTCTGGAGCGTGAAGAGTTTGTAATTTCACGGCTTTGTCTCCGCGCCTACTTATCGGCGGGTAATCACAACTCATCTCTCCAATATGGCTCCGCTCAGCCGTGTCAGGGTTCCATTATAAACACTCGCAGGACGGCAGGCTTTCAAGTACAACCGGCCCCGCGGGAGAGTTTTTATTTTACTTGATATCCATGCCACTGGTGCAATAGCCTAGTGGGTAGAGTGCTCGCCATGCACTCGTTAGGTTGTGAGTTTGATCCCCGGCCACATGGGAGACTTTTTTATTTTACTTGATATCAATATTCTTTTCGAACGGAAGCTATTTTTAAATAATATTCCGTAGTATATTTTGAAAGAAAACTAACTTCAGGCATTTTTATCTGCTGGATTTGTATTGTGAGAATGCTCTGATGAAGATAGGCACGTCTCCGGTAGTTTCTAGTGTTTTTATATCAATCTGTGCCCATCATGGGTATAAAATAAATAAGAGATGGTCTGTTTGATGTTTGATGTTTTATTAGATATCCATTAGATTAGATAACAAATCTAATCTATTCTTCCTGGATTCACAAACAGTACACAAATGTAATACAAATTAAGGCACAAAACATAACATAACATAACACTTGCATCCATTGGACTACAACTAGCATAAAATTACAAAGCAATAGTCAATAACAACTGTTGGTCTGTTGGTCAGATGTTCAATTCACTCAATCAGAATTCAATGAAAAACATCGCGAGCCTTTTATTTCCTCATTCTGTTGACTTCCTGCGGCATGTTTCAGTCGAGATATTCAACAGCAGTATTATCACATTGCACATGCGCGACACTCTGAATAAGATGATGACCGTTGCCCTTTAACCTTGACCTGACGATGACTCTTGACCTGTCGATGCCCTTGACATGACGCTGGCATTTGGCATGACATTACGATAGCCGTTTACGTGATGATGACCCTTGACCTGACGATTACACTTGATATTACGATGACCCTTGACATGACGATGGCCTTTGACATGACATTCAGTTTCATTTTGATTGTACTTAAGTTACCTTCTATTATGTTATGTATGTCACAGGGAGCTCTGAAAAGCGCCAAAATGGCGATATGCTAACCTGTATAAATAAATAAAAATGAAATGACATGACGATAACCGTTTACGTGATGATGACCCTTGACATGACCATGACCCTTGACATGACGATGCCCTTGACCCGCGCTCCGTGAGATCCACCGGCCGGTCCGCCCTGACGGATCACGGCGTCCACACGGAGTTTGCGGCTGGTTGTGCGGAAGTAAAAACTGCGTACACTGGGCGGAAACGGTTTCTTTACATGTAGCTCTATCCTGACCATCTGCGTAACCAAATTGCCGGGAATAATTACCCCAGCAGCCATCGCTGACTGTTATTTGCTCACTTTGATGCACGACGAGAAGCCGCGGAGTTTGCAGAATGGTTTGGTTCTGTTCCAAATGATCCGAGTTCCGCTCCGTCCGCGGCCGCTTGGCGACGGGACAAATGCTGACGGATCGTCCCGTCCGGTTAGGGGCGCTCAGCAATTTCTTTTGTCGTCGTCTCAATGTTTCTCTTTGCTTGGCCTTTAATCTAGTAGATTTCTCATGTCCAAACCTTTCCCCGCTGAAATACTAACAGGCGACCCTTCGGTAAATCACGCAGTTCCCGCTCGGCTTTAATGAAGACGGACCCGAACATTACAGAAAATTTACCCGCTTGTTAGCAGAGGATATCCGGGCTGTATAACTCCTCCTGACGGCCGGTCGATAGTAGTGAGCTTTAGAAAGCTGCGGGAGACGCTCGGTGCTGAGGAGTGAGTGAGTGAGTGAGTGAGTGAGTGAGTGGGTGAGTGAGTGAGTGAGTGAGTGAGTGAGTGAGTGAGTGAGTGTGTGAGTGAGTAAAAGAGTGAGTAAAAGTGTGAGTGTGTGAGTGAGTGAGTGAGTCAGTGAGTAAAAGAGTGAGTAAAAGAGTGAGTGAGTGAGAGAGTAAGACGGAACCGAACATTACAGAAAATTTACCCGCTTGTTAGCAGAGTGTATCCTGCCTGGCTCCTCATGACGCCCGGTCGATAGTCGTGACAGCCGTTAGTGGGGGTCTTCATCTGCATCTTCTGTCCACCAGTAAGAGTCACGGCATACCGGAGCAACCTACAGTACTATGGTCCTTACCTCTGGAACACTCTTCCGCTACAGCAACGACAGATCCTTAGTCTCAGGATCATTAGGAGCAGGACTTCTCAGGACTTTTAAACAGATTATCAGGTGCAGGACTTGATACAGTTGATGTTTAGGATGTTGTATTTAGTAATAGTTTATGTACTGTGTATCTGTTGTGTGTATTTTTATGTGTATCCAGGATTACCTGAAAAACAGGCCAAAATTGCCTGAGCTGTAATTATTGGTTAAATAAATAAAGTGAAATTGAAATTGCATGCCCTTTTTACGTAGAGCGTAATCGGCCGTTTTAATCCTACGTAGAGCGTAGACGGACCGCTCTAATTCAACGTAAAGCATAATTGGCGCATTTCGCGTAGAGCGTAATTTGCGTTTTAATTCTACGTAATATGTTGTCGCCACTCGGAATTTATCGTAAAGCGTAATCGCTACTGTAGCGTAATACGTAGCCGTCTCTCAAAAGTTAGCGTAGAGCGTATCGAGACCCCCCCCCCTCCATGCAGACACCCGTTAGCGAGCTGCGAAAGAAGCCGGGTGAAATTGGATGTGTCCGCGGCCGCCCCCGGCGTCTGACCGTCGCCTCCGACCTAATGAATCGCTGTTTGACTTCGGGCCAAACCAGGCTGATGAACTTTACTCAGCTTCAATCCTCTAATTTACTCCTGTTAACTCATGGATCATTACACGGTCTCATCCAGACTTTACCGTCGCTTGTAACCGGAGAGCTGATCGGGCGAGTTTGTAGGAAAAGATCGATGGAGTTAG